TATTACTTACAAATTCAGATTGTCACGCTGGGGTGCCTCCAGCATCCCAGCATGACAAGAGGCAAAGTCAGACAATGCCGTCAACGCCACACTGGACTCATCTTCCCGGTTTGCCAACCCTTTACTACAGCAAGGTCTTCAGATTGCAGACTGCATGTCCACACACGAGTCCACACATGAGTCCACTGTCACTTAGGCTGGTATAGCATTTCCAAAATTGAGTTTTCAGGAAACGAAGTAGTCAGTTATAACATGAGCATATTACCATGCACTTAAGTCTTAGTCCTGGCTGGCAGGGACTGAGAGAAATATACCATACCACTGCAGAGATGTATAGGGAGAGGCAGAGGGAAGGTTCACAGAAATGAGATGACATCAGCTGTTTCTGGCCACCAGCCAACCGGTGACATGTCCACAATCCCAGGACTCCAGATACAGAATCTGACGCTCCCTGCTCCCAATCTTCCGTCCTAGCTTGCAGTCAATGACTGTGCATGCTGAGGATCACACTCTTTCTGACTTGTTTTGAGGCTCATAAGGGATCATAGTTAATATTTCGTGATTGGCCTTGAGGCGATATCTGTGTCCAGAGCCATTCTCTCATTTGTAACAGTGCATTTAACGTTCAGATCACTTTAATTCTATCATCATGTTAATAAAGAGGGCTGATGGCTGACTAGGCCCACAGTTCTGGGCTTTCGTTTCCTTGTCCGCAGGAGAGGTTGTGGCTCACTCAGAATGAGCTGGAGTCTCCCTCCCTTGCCGCTCCACGCCTCAGGCAAGCAGACTGTGAGTGGACAGGTCATTCTGCAGAAATATCAACGAGCGCTGGGGCCCATCACGCTTTCCTTCAAATTACAGACAGTGGAACTTCCCAGGGGGCTCCTTCGTGTTCTTCTAAGTGATTAAGAGCAGGAAATCTGCACGTGCTCAGTGTAGCTACTTCCCAAGTGCCCGGGATCCTGCGGCATCTCGAGATGTCTCCAGGGCTGGCTTTGGTCCACGGGCCTTCCCATAGGTACGGCAGACTCAGGATCAGGGACCCGGCTGGCCGCTGGCAGCCAGCAGCTCTGTGCTCTAGGCTGGGCCTCCACACACTCCCACAAGGCGGCAAGGCGGGGTGCCTCCAGCATCCCAGCGTGACAAGAAGCAAAGTCAGACAACGCCGTCAACGCCACACTGGACTCATCTTCCCAGTTTGCTGACCCTTTACTACAGCAAGGTCTTCAGAATATGTGGTTGATTTTAATTAAACCTACTGAACTTAAAAAAGGAAACTGTTTTTATTAGATCAGGCTGAGCTCAGGCTGGCCAGGGCCGTGCTCGGGGACTCGAGCCCCCCACCCGCCCCGCCCCCATACACAAATGTGCGTTCATCCCATCACACATGAGCAAGATGTCAGAGAACACTGAGGGGAGGGAAAGGAACGAGTACTCGAGTCCCCCAACCTCAAAGAGCTCCCGGGGAGCAGTTCACGGCGCACTTAAGAACAGATCCTGGTCCGCTGTAAGAACAGTTCACGGCGCACTGTAGGAACCGTTCACGGCGCACTGTAAGAACAGTTCACAGTGCACTGTAAAAACAGTTCACGGCACACTTAAGAACAGATCCTGGCCCGCTGTAAGAACAGTTCACGGCGCACTGTAAAAACAGTTCACAGCATGACGTAAGAACAGTTCACAGCATGCTGTAAGAACACAAGCGTTACCTGTGCAGAAAGGGGAGAGACTGATCAAGACACATCACAGTCATAATCTGCTTTGTTAAATGGCAAAAAGAAGCATGCTATGTGGAAGCACGTAAGTTTGTTCTAGGAGATACACATATATGCACTTACATACTTACTATCTCTAAGTAGTTGTATAAAGGACTGCCATTTAACAAGGCAGGTCATGAATACAGTATGTCTTGACTGATGACACCTCTTTCAGCATTCCTCACCCATCCCAACCCTCCATACCCTTGCCCTCACTCTTCTTAATTTTGTAGGATATACACTGGATTCTGGACTGTATTGCCTCGTCTTCTCCTCCATTTCCCCTTGACCCCATTCCACCCCTTACAAGTACCTGATTCCTGATATTGATTTTGTTGAACTTTGACTTTACCTTTCTAAGGAATTATACTACGTAAGATCTCCCTTGAGTCTATCATATTTCAGTTAATACATATGTATACGTGTACATACCACCTAATGCATTCAGGGTCCACATATGAGGGAAAACATGTAAACTTTGTCTCTCTTGGCATGGCTTACCTAACCCAATTTTTTCCAGAGCTTTCCATTTCTTTATAAAGGGTACAATATTGTTCTTTCTGAATAGGTCCGCATCAAACTAAAATACTTCTGCCTGGCACAGAACCAGCCAACAAGCTGAACAGTACACAGAACGGGAGAATTTTGCCAGCTACATAACAGAAAGTAGTCTAATACCAGAATAAACAGAGAACTGCACAAATTAAATCCTCAAAAAATAGGCAAGCCAATTAATAATTAGGCTAATGAACTAAAAACAGTCTTCTCAGACAGATATAGGAAGAAATGTTCCACCTCTATGGCTACAAAAGAACTAAACCAAAACAACACTGAGATTCTACCTCACCCCAGCTAGAATGGCCACTATCAAGAAAACAAATGATTACGGATACTACTGACAAGGAAGCAGCCAAAAGGGAACACTAATACGCTAGTGGTGAGAATATAATCGTGTTCAACCACACTGGAGTTTCTTAAAAGATTAAACATAGAACTTCACTGACCAAGCAATTCCACTCCTGGGCATTTATCCCAAAGATTCCAACCGAGGATACAGTAAAGTCACCAGTACCACCATGTTGATTGCAGCAATAGTCACTATAGCCAAGGTATGGAATTAGTCCAGATACCCCTTAGTGGAGAAATGGATCAAGAAAATGTCACACACACACACACACACACACACACACACACACACACACACACATACCACACACTCAGGAAACAGATGTTTACAAACACTTATGAATTAACCTATTTGTTCCAAGTTGGCCCCATGGTGGGATTATTTTTTTCTCGCTTGCCAAGGCCTTTGCATATATCAATACCAATCAATAGAACCAGTGTTCATTAAAGTCGGATCATGTAACATATTTGAAAAGTTCACAGAGAGTTCTAGGCTGTTAGAAGATCTGGATTGGATCTCAGACACACAACTCCCTGCAAGAAGCAAAAATCATCTTGACATATGAAGAAGAGGAAAAAGAACAAGATGACCACGTTGAAAAGTTCATTGACTTGGACATCAAATTCCAAAGGACACATGGCTGTCACCTGCATTATTTGTCTCATTTTTTAAGCCAAATGGAGATTCAGATACCCAGTAAGAAAATATAAATTACCAAGTGCATGGATAGAGAGCATCATGCAGAAGAAACGGTCCCCTAGCAAAGACATACAACCCATTCTTCCAACATTTCCTGAGAGTGAAATTCTTAAGGATTCGCTCAAAGAAAAATTAAGCAAGAAACCCTATGGCATCCATTGTTTCTAACATGTCACGCCTAAAAGTTGATCAATAGGTTTCCATTTCTAGGGTATCATCACAAACATGACAGCCACTCCAAGGCCATTTTAGTTCAACCACCCTCTTTCCTCAGGGGTGATTTCCCCTGCTGAGTGGGACTCATGTGGTCCATCTCCTGGGCTGACAGCATAGAACTTGGACAATGGCCCTGGGGTGATGATCGACTCTGATGAACTCTACTTGCTCTACTGTCAAAGAGAGGCCTCAGCTCGGATGGGCATTCTCAGAACTTTCTGCTAAAAATATCAGCTTTGAAACTTCTGTGTCCTAGCATGAGAAGCGGGAGGTATGCAATCACCAGATTACAAAGCATAGGCCTGTTTTAGATCTTCTTCTTTTTCTTTTTTTTGCCAGTTGTGGGGCTTGAACTCTGGGCCTGGGCGCTGTCCCTCAGCTCTTCAGCTCAAGGCTAGTGCTCTACCACTTGAGCCACAGTGCCACTTCTGGCTTTTTCTGTTTATGTGGTTCTAAGGAATCAAACCCGCAGGCCTCATGCATACAAGGCCAGCACTCTACCACTGAGCCACCTTCTTAGTCCCTGTTTTAGATCTTTGAAGCATCATAATTAACTAGTTATCTTTAGTTATCCAAACCATATAGTTCGCTCCTCTTTGTAACTAAAAACATTGTAAACATTTGTTAAAATACCCTGAAAACATAGCTTTTATATCTTCTGCTCTTGCGTCTTCTTCATTTATACCTTTAAAATTTTTCATATTGATTTATATACTTATACTAACATGATAGGACATGGGTTAAAACTCTGAACTTCAGAAAATGTCCCAGCCCCAATAGCTCATAGTATTGTGATGCTGGGTGAACTCACAAGTTTCCTATGGTTTGGAGGTGGCCCAGTGGTCCAGTGCCTGTCTAGTAAGCACAGGTCCTGAGTACCACCAAAAAAAAAAAAGGTTCAAGTTACTTATGTTTGTTTTATCTGCGAAGTTAATAGACAACAGAAAATGATTGGTACGTCCAATTGTTTTATGTTTGTGTGCGTCTGTTCATTCATGTGCATGATTATAAGAAACCATATGTATGTATGTATATGAATATCGATGACTTTATTACTAACTATAACAACACTATCTTGAAATTTTTCATAAAAATGTTGTTTTGTTTATTCAGCATATATCACACTACAAACACTATTTTCAAACCCAGAAACTCTTAATCAACCTAAGATATTTACATTTTAGGCCTATTTATTGAATTATCAGAGCAAGAATGTCTGTAAGTAGCTAAATTTACAATTACTGCTTCTCTAGAATGAATTCACTGAGGATCCAGCACAGAATTAAGGTGTAACTTAGAACACAGCCAGAAAATGAAAAGCAGTACATTAAAAAAACAAAGCTCGCATACACTGAAAGCTGAGTAGTGGACGTACAGACAAGATGGAGAGCCCGCAGGGCCGGCCCGGCCGCAGTACTCACTGGTGTAGGTGAGCTGGAAGCCCTGGGCCGTGTCTGAGCCATTGGTGTTGAACTCCAGCCACAGGTGGTTGGAGGTGCTGGTGAGAACCTGCCCCAGCAGCTCGGTCTTCGTGAAGGCTCCCAGCAGGCGGGATGAGCTGTCTTTTCCGTCATAAACCTAGGCAAAGTTCACAGCATGAGTCCCCCATTTTCCCAGACTGTATTCCTCAGGTGCAATTTTAGCTTTAAGGAGAGACTTCATTCAGTACTTATACAGCTAGTACCATGACAAGCTGATAGCCAGGTGCCAGTGGCTCACACCTGTAATCCTAGCTACTCAGGAGACTGACATCTGAGGATCACAGTTCAAAGCCAGCCTGGGAAGAAATGTCCGTGAGATTCTTATCTACAATAAGCCACTAGAACACTGCAAGTGGTGCTGTGGCTCAAAGTGGTAGAGTGCTAGTCTTGGGCAAAAGAGCTCAGGGACAGCACCCAGGCCCTGAGTTCAAAGATAAAACAAAACAAAACAAAACAACAACAACAAAAACAAGGAAAAGCACAAGCAGATGACAGTGATAAATAGCCTATTGTACTATTTGTGGTTCTTCTTTTTTTTTTTAACTTTTTTCTTTGGTTTCTTCCCTTTGTCCATGTTTTTGATTTCGGAACACTTTGTCTTGTATGTAAGTTTGTCTGATTTGGAGAGGGTCAAAGGGTGAATTAATTCATCAGTGATACTCATTAGACACTGTGTTGGAAATGAACTATGGAACTTGCCGGGAGGAGGAGGGTTGGGAGGGGAAACCTGGGAGAAATTGAGGGAGCGGTGACACTGTTCAAAAGAAAACGTGCTCATTACCTGATTTATGCAACTGCCACCCCTCTGTAATCACCTTTACAACAAAATTTCCTAAAAATTAAAAAGAAATACAAAGGGAAAACAAAAGGTAAGATGGTTCAAGGTGTGGCCTGACTGACCACGGAGGGAAAGCGAGGTAACTGTGCTCGTCCAAGAGCGGAGGCTGAGCCCACGGTGCGCTGTGCAGCCTGACTGACCACGGAGGGAAAGCGAGGTAACTGTGCTCGTCCAAGAGCGGAGGCTGAGCCCACGGTGCGCTGTGCAGCCTGACTGACCACGGAGGGAAAGGGAGGTAACTGTGCTCGTCCAAGAGCGGAGGCTGAGCCCACGGTGCGCTGTGCAGCCTGACTGACCACGGAGGGAAAGGGAGGTAACTGTGCTCGTCCGAGAGCGGAGGCTGAGCCCACGGTGCGCTGTGCAGAGCGTCTGCTATCATCGGCCCGCCGGTGTAGCACAAGGACTTACTGTCTGCACTGCAAACCCTCTTCTGTCGTCCCACATTTGTGCAAGTATAGGAGTTGTGTGGGGGATGCGGGAACTGCCGCTGCCGTTCTGTTCCTGTGAAGGGCTGGCACTCTACCACTTGAGCTACCCCTCAATTCTGACTTTTTGTTGGTTATTTGGAGACAAGAGTTTCTCCATTCTGACTGCCTGGATTTGTTTTGAACTAAGATTCTCAGATCTCAGCCTCCTGAGAAGCTAGGATTCCTGGTGTGAGCCACTGGCACTGGGCCAACTTGAAACACTTTTAACAAACAGCTATTAATCAGCATATTCAACAAATATCTGACTAAAAGACATTCAGACATTTTACATGAGCAATAGTTTCCTTGCAATTAACTGCTATAAAGAAAAAATGTTGTTTTTTCTCTTTTTTACATTCTGTTTTAATAAGCATACTTGAGCTACATGTAATCAAAACTGAACATAATTTTCATCCTTCCATTTCAGTAGTATTTATTGGTGTATATTTGATGTGGTCATTTCAATCATTTGCTTACCCTGGGAATAGTTAGATTTTTAGTGAAAGCTTGCTTTAAAGACTTACTGACATAACTTGGCAGCGATCAAATAAGTCAGAAAATTTTTACGTATGACCTAACTTTATAATTGCTTTAGATTAGTGAGAATATGCTGGTTCTCTGACTGAAGGCTGTTCTTAATTATAGCCTTTCATGCTGTCAGTGTGAGCTTTCAAATAACTATTAGTGAAAGAAAAACTAGAATAAGAAAACCTCCACTGAATTATGACACCGAAAACTGTCAAGATTGGACTGAGGAGGAATAAGACAGTACCCTGGGCATCTCCCCTGACCAGCCAGGTCACTTCTAACGATGCTCAGCACATGTGCTGGAAGGGCACCCCGAGTCTCCCTGTTACTGTCCAGCTGTCTTCATGGGGTCTAGACTTTTCTGTGAGCTGAGCAAAGCACCGTGTAAGTCACCGTGTGAGACCCTGTGGGGTCACTGTGTGAGTCACTGTGTGAGTCACTGTGTGAGGCAGTGTGTGAGTCACTGTGTGAGTCACTGTGTGAGTCAGTGTGTGAGTCAGTGTGTGAGTCAGTGTGTGAGTCACTGTGTGAGGCAGTGTGTGAGTCAGTGTGTGAGTCAGTGTGTGAGTCAGTGTGTGAGTCAGTGTGTGAGTCAGTGTGTGAGGCAGTGTGTGAGTCACTGTGTGAGTCACTGTGTGAGTCACTGTGTGAATCAATGTGAGTCACTGTGTGAGTCACTGTGTGAGTCTGTGTGAGTCAGTGTGTTAGTCACTGTGTGAGTCAGTGTGTGAGTCACCATGTGAGTCAGTGTGTGTCAGTGTGTGAGTCACTGTGTGAGTCACTGTGTGAGCCACCGTGTGAATCAGTGTGTGAGCCACCGTGTGAATCAGTGTGTGAGTCACCATGTGAGCTAGTGTGGGAGTTACTGTGTGAGTCAGTGTGTGAGTCACTGTGTGAGTCACTGTGTGAATCAGTGTGAGTCACCGTGTGAGTCAGTGTGTGAGTCACCATGTGAGCTAGTGTGGGAGTCACTGTGTGAGTCACTGTGTGAATCAGTGTGAGTCACCGTGTGAGTCAGTGTGTGAGTCACCGTGAGCCACCTTGTGAGTCATTGTGTGGGTCACTGTATGACTCAGTGTGAGTCACCGTGTGAGCCACTGTGTGAGTCACGGTGTGAGTCAGTGTATAAGCCACCGTGTGAGTCACTGTGTGAGTCAGTGTATGAGTGACCATGAGCCACCTCATGAGTCATTGAGTCACTGTATGACTCAGTGTGAGTCACTGTGTGAGCCACCGTGTGAGTCACTGTGTGAGCCACCGTGTGAGTCAGTGTGTGAGTCAGTGTGTGAGTCACCTTGTGAGTCATTGTGTGAGTCACTGTATGACTCAGTGTGTGTCACCGTGTGAGTCACTGTGTGAGCTGATGTGTGAGTCAATGTGCAAGCCACACAGACATAAATGTAAGTGATAATGGCTCTTTCTGTGCTCTAATTGGCCTCCTGACCAAGGCGATTTGGGTGTACCAGAAGAGTGACAGCCTTCTCAGCCTTTGCTGCTCCATGTATTTCTTGGTAACTGTTCTGAGGCTCCGCTCACTGATGTTCACTTCTCAGCTGCTAGGTTCTGGCAAGGCTCTGCTGTCTTGAAATAGTCCCAAGGGTGTGGACCTGCATGAGCAGCCTGGGGTTCGGGATGCTCTCACTGGCATAGTTACATGGGGTGTAGGGTTCAATGAGGAGCCCTCCGGGTTGGACGTGCTCTGACTGGATTGGGGATTTTGGAAATTAGGCAAGATCTGGGTGACCTGCTGTTGATGGTGAGTTACCGCTCTGGCCTTCCTTCTCTGAACATCCCTGCCTTGTATTCTCATGACAGTGCTGGACTTCTGCTCGAATGACTCGCAAGTCCTTCTGGCTCTAGAATGAGTGAAGTCAGGATATTGAAACGACTGGGTTCTGAGACCCAGGTTTTTAAATAAATTGCCATTATATGCATAACAACAGTAACATCTGCAATGTCATGTCTACTAATTCTCCAAAACCTCAAAATGGTCAAAACTGTTTCATGCTTCTAAACCCAGGAGAGCCAAGTCTGGAACACACTAACATGGTGCTCAAGTTACATGCCTGTGAATATTAGATCTAGACTCAAACATAGATTTCTAAGTCCACAGAGAATCTTCTGAATGACACCCCATTATATCATCCTAAATCACTTGTATAAATACACAGGAATAAATTATACATAAATACATAATGATATATCAGCACATGTGTGTGTAGACAGGTAGCTAGAGGCTAGCGTGAATTGGTAGATGGAGACAGATGATAGATGGACAGAGAGATATAGATACAGAGGTAGGTAAGTCAGTAGATAGGTAAGAAAGATGACAGGTTAGTAAATGGATACACACGTAGACACCTACATAGGTACATGTGTGCACACACACACAGAGATTGTGACAGCCGGATGGATGGCAGCCCCCTTGCTGGCAGATGCGGGTCTCTGTGAGGACGCTCACCTTGAGCACGTCCCCTTCGGACAGCTGGAAGCTGTGCGCGCTGAGGCGGATGCCCTGGCCGGCGTCTGTCTCTATCTTATAGATGCACTCGTGGTTGTTATCGTAATTGGATGGGAAATTTGGAGACAGTAATGTTCCTTCGTTTCCTCGGACACGTGCTCCACATTCAGCTAAAGCCAAGAGGACATTAAAAGAGAGGATTCATACGTGGAATTACGGCTGCAGGCGGATTAAAGCTTACCCATCGTGAGTGCCCTCTCCTCTGCCAGTGTCGTCTGCTATCGACGCAGCTTTTAAAAAGCAGGCTAGTGACCTCCCCTTTGCCTTGCCACCACACGGTGCCCGTTCCCTCGTTCCCACATTGTCCTTACTTATCTAACAGAACGACCTTGGACTACAAGGGAGCTGCACACTATCGCGTAGAGAGCTCCAGAATGAAACAGGTGGCTCCTGCCTGCCTTCCTGGGTAGTCACCCCGCCTCTCCCGGCCTCCTGCCAGCGGAGGCCACAACTTCCCGCTGCACTGAGGTCGTTTCCCTACCCGTGTGTGTGTGTGTGTGTGTGTGTGTGTGTGTGTGTGTGGATCGGGAAGCATGTGTCATAACGGGAAGCATGTGTCATAACAAGAATCCGATCACAGGCAAACAGGCCACTGCCCTGTCAGCAATGCGCCACAGCACCCAGGTCCCCAGGCTGTGTCTCGGGAGGAACCGGCATTCAGTCACACCCCATGTTCCTTGCTCCGTTTACAGAGCCAGCAGCGGGTGAAAGCAGGTCTCTACTTCTGAATTCCCACCGAATGCAGTTCAAGGCAAACATGATGGTAAATACAACTCCTTCCTGTTGACCCTGAGTAAGCTCCAGACTCTCCGCTTCTGTGAAGAGCACCCCGGCTCTGCAATCCCACCAGTGATAGTCTTTTGATAATCTACTTAATATTACCTTAAGGCAAATTAAGACCACTTTCCTGAATCAGAACAATTTTTTCCGTTAAAAAAATCCTGAAATTGTCAGTCATTCAAACTGTTCTGTTCCTGGGAGTTTTGCAACGGAACTAAACTAACTAAAATTAAAGGAGCGAGTGTAGGATTGGTTCATTCGGCCTGCGGAGCTGCACGTGAGGTTTCACACCCCCCGCTTCACCATCACTGGTGGTGCCTGACCTGAGGAGGGTACAGCTCTCCGGGACCCTGGCTGCCAAGGCACAGTCCAAGCCCCAACGCGCGGCCTACGAACATTCATCCATACCCGGGGTTAAGGCGGGTCCTTCCATCAGGGATGCGAACGCAATGCCTGCCAGATGGTAGGACAGTAAGGGATTTATGCTCTCTCTGCTTAATACTTAGGCTCAACTCAGCTGCAAGAACTCATGTCTGGACTACACAGAGACTGTACCACCTCCTGTGTCACCGAGATTCCTAGGAGCTAAGATGTGTGGCTGCGGCTATTCAGTTTGGGGGTGACTACTGTGGAATTTTGAGAAAAGCGTGAGCCAGATAAAATGGCATTTACAAGGAGAGGGAGTGGAGAGAGCACACCACAGTGTTCAGTGAACGTCCTAGAAAAGCTGAGGGGCTGGGGAGAACAAAGGGTAACACTGCCTTGAACGCAGACGGGGACAGACAGAAAATCCTCTCGTGCCACACGGAACTCGCTGTGGAGCGTGAGGTTTGGGAGCCTGTGAGAAGAAATATGACTCCCATGGTAGCTGGCAAAGTGGAGGTTTGTTAACTCAGGCAGGTTGGCTCTGAGGATAAAGTTGATGTAAAAGATAAAACAAAAGGACGCATTCTACTCATAAACGGACACGTTGTAGCCCTTTACACAGCCATGTGAAGACTGCATATGTACAGGTATCTATTTTAAGACATAATATTCATTTACATGGCTGCAGGAGTGGGAAGCACAGAAACTAGCCAAAGCAAGAAGAACAGGAAGAGTTGCTACAACAAAGCAAATGGAGGCCACCCGTGCAGCCAGGTTACACGGGGTCAGACTCTGAGCAGCACAAGAGCCCGCCCACAGTGTGGGGGGAGAAGGGGGGAGGCCCCAGGCCCCTGACCAGCCCTGGTGGGTGGGAGGGAGCCCACAGTGTGCGGGGAGAAGGGGGAAGGGCCCAGGCCCCTGACCAGCTCCTGGTGGGTGGGAGGGAGCCCACAGGTCGGGGGCGGGGGGAGAAGGGGGAAGGGTCCAGGCCCCTGACCAGCCCTGGTGGGTGGGAGGGAGCCCACAGGTCGGGGGGGGGGGAGAAGGGGGGAGGGCCCAGGCCCCTGACCAGCCCTGGTAGGTGGGAGGGAGCCCACAGTGTGGGGGGAGAAGGGGGAAGGGCCCAGGCCCCTGACCAGCTCCTGGTGGGTGGGAGGGAGCCCACAGGTCGGGGGCGGGGGGAGAAGGGGGAAGGGTCCAGGCCCCTGACCAGCCCTGGTGGGTGGGAGGGAGTCCACAGGCGGGGGGGGGAAGGGGGGAGGGCCCAGGCCCCTGACCAGCGCCTGGTGGGTGGGAGGGAGCCCAGAGTGTAGGGGGGAAGAAGGGGGGAGGACCCAGGCCCCTGAACAGCTCCTGGTGGGTGGAAGGGAGCCCACAGGTCGGGGGGGCAAAAGGGGGAAGGGCCCAGGCCCCTCCTGGTGGGTGGGAGGGAGCCCACAGGTCTCATAATGGAAGCCAGAGGCCCACTGCCCTTGAACTCCCTCACTAAGCCTCAAGAACAGGGAGCAGGCAACCTCTGCCTGGAATAGATAAGTTCTACCCAGAACAGACAAGCTCCACCCAGAACAGACAAGCTCCACCCAGGACAGGCAAGCTCCACCCAGAACAGACAAGCTCCACCCAGGACAGACAAGCTCCACCCAGAACAGACAAGCTCCACCCAGGACAGAAAAGCTCCACCCAGAACAGACAAGCTGTACCCAGGACAGACAAGTTCTACCCAGGACAGACAAGCTCCACCCAGGACAGACAAGCTCCACCCAGGACAGACAAGCTCCACCCAGAACAGACAAGCTCCACCCAGAACAGACAAGCTCCACCCAGAACAGACAAGCTGTACCCAGAACAGACAAGCTGTACCCAGAACAGACAAGCTCCACCCAGAACAGACAAGCTCCACCCAGAACAGACAAGTTCCACCCAGGACAGACAAGCTCCACCCAGAAAAGACAAGCTCCACCCAGGACAGACAAGCTCCACCCAGAACAGACAGGCTGTACCCAGAACAGACAAGCTGTACCCAGGACAGACAAGTTCCACCCAGGACAAACAAGTTCCACCCAGGACAGACAAGCTCCACCCAGAACAGACAAGCTCCACCCAGAACAGACAAGCTGTACCCAGAACAGACAAACTCCACCCAGGACAGACAAGTTCCACCCAGGACAGACAAGTTCCACCCAGGACAGACAAGCTCCACCCAGAACAGACAAGCTCCACCCAGAACAGACAAACTGTACCCAGGACAGACAAGCTCCACCCAGAACAGTCAAGCTGTACCCAGGACAGACAAGCTCCACCCAGAAAAGACAAACTCCACCCAGAACAGACAAGCTCTACCCAGAACAGACAAGTTCCAACCAGAACAGACACGCTGTACCCAGAACAGACAAGCTGTACCCAGGACAGACAAGTTCCACCCAGGACAGACAAGTTCCACCCAGGACAGACAAGCTCCACCCAGAATAGACAAGGTCCACCCAGAACAGACAAGCTCCACCCAGGACAGACAAGCTGTACCCAGAACAGACAAGCTGTACCCAGGACAGACAAGTTCCACCCAGGACAGACAAGTTCCACCCAGGACAGACAAGTTCCACCCAGGACAGACAAGCTGTACCCAGAACAGACAAGCTGTACCCAGAACAGACAAACTCCGCCCAGAACAGACAAGCTCCACCTAGAACAGACAAGCTCCACCCAGAACAGACAAGCTCCACCCAGGACAGAAAAGCTCCACCCAGAACAGACAAGCTGTACCCAGAACAGACAAGCTCCACCCAGAACAGACAAGCTCCACCCAGGACAGACAAGCTCCACCCAGAACAGACAAGCTCCACCCAGGACAGACAAGCTCCACCCAGGACAGACAAGCTCCACCCAGAACAGACAAGCTCCACCCAGAACAGACAAGCTCCACCCAGAACAGACAAGCTGTACCCAGACAGGCAGGTTCTATCTGGAACCAGTGAGCTCTAGGTTCAAGGGTGTGCAAACCCAGGCCACAGGAGAGCAGATCAGGCTCACAACCAAAGGCCTGGGCGTAAAGGACGACCCTGACCACTAGGCAGGCTCCACCCTCCCGAGCCAGAGCAGACCCTGGCTCTGATTACAACGGGAGGCTTTACTCCAAAAGAATCCCATGATGCACCTGCATAAGCACACTTGGTGCACACTGGCACACACCTGGGTTCAGGCTTCTTCACAGAACTTTGGGCTGCTGTGAACTTATTTATAGAGGAGATAACTCCAGCCCCACCTGCCTCCTGCTCAGCCTCCACCTGGTCCAGCCCCCCTGGCCCGGCCTCCTGCTCAGCCTCCTCCTGTCCCAGCCCCGCCTGCCTCCTCACCAGCCTGCCCGGCCCATGGATGAATGAAATGAAAGCGTGTGGCCACCTACCCACACACCTTGGCAGAGGTGCGCTCCACACACGGCGGCCCCCGCCCAGGCAGGTCAGCCTGGTGGCCCCTTCCAAGCGGTACCCGGGGAAGCAGGAGAAGGTCAGTGCGTCGCCCACGCCGAAGTGGAAGCCGATCCTGCGGCTGAAGGCGGGGACGCCGGGGTCGTCGCAGGGCTCCAGGTCGTACTCTGTGCGGGGAGAGCAGGAGGGATACGCTCAGCCACACGGACACGCGGGCACAGACACCTGGACCGCAGGCCCCGGCCCGGCCAACCTCAGAGACGCTGCAAGGGACGTCCCCGCAGGCACGGCCCTCCGCCGACCCTCCCGGCCGCCTGGCTGCTCTGTGCGCGGCCTCATGGGTGCCACCCGAGACAGAGACGGAGTGGAGGGCTCGCTCGGCTCGGAGCTCCGTGCTCAGCAGCGCGGTTTTCAACGCCAGCCCGGTTTTCATGTGGTGAAATGTCCCACGCGCATTTTCAGGAAGAAGAACGTGGAGGGCTGAGAGGCTGGCACGGGCACCTGGGTCTGCTGTGCTTTCCTGGTCCCTCCCGGGCTCTGGGCCACGCGGGGCCGGCAGCACTGCGGGGTCAGCGTCCACCCTGGCCTGCGGGCGACCTGAGAAGGGGCAGCGGCCCTGTGTGCGCTCCTCTTCCCACGCTTCCTTCCCCGGCTGCTCCCGGGGCTGCCCCAGACACCCGTTCTACGCGGACCATGTGACAGGGAGCCGGGGGGGGGGGGGGGGAGACAGGAAGGGGAGGACGCTGCAGGGTCCCTGGAAGAGATCACGCAGAGCGGGGAGGGGCTGGACCCCGGGAGGGCGCGAGGTCATGTGGAGAGCGAGGGCCGCCCAGAAAGCCTTGCCTGCGCCCCTCCGTTTGCCCCTGGACTCCCAGTGCTCCACCGCGGGCTGACCGTCAGGGACTCTCAGTGCTCCACCGCAGGCTGACCATGGGCGTCTGGAGCCTGTCATGCATGTCTGCCGTCCTTGCTGCTCTGACTACCTGCTTGTCCAGCGGCGTCTCTTCAAACGTGTGCACAATTCCACACGCATCCATTTGCGGCACCCAGCGAGCCCTGGAGGCCGGCTCCAGGCTGCCCTTGTCCCGCTGTGCGTTTGGGGGAGCGTGCCCGGGGCCTCGCTCATGTTCACCCTGAACTGGCCGCTCTGGAAATGCACCCACAGCCTTGATTTTATTTTCACGTGAGCTAGAGAGTGAAAATGTAAACAGTGCCGCTTCATGGAACTCACAACTACGTGCTGAAAACCTGTCTGTCCTACACACACGCTCAGTCTAGGAAATGCTACCGTGAGTGTGTTTTACTCCAGCATGGTTTCTCTTCTATCTTGTTGATACCATTTCCCTAAGGATTGATTTATCCTGCCAATTAAACTCACATCTTTTTGCTGTCATGTTTTGTGTGTGTGTGTGTGTGTGTGTGTGTGTGTGTGTGTGTGTGTGACAATCGAAAGCTCTCACAGGAGGAGACAATAATTTGCTATTCTTTTTTTTTTTAAAATTACTCATCTCCATTGGTCGGTCACTTGCACACACAGATCGGGAAAAGGAAGCCAAGGCTCACTGCTCACTGTGTGCCCAGAGCTACAGGACTGAGAGCAGAGGGGGTGACAGTGACAAAAACCACGGAAGCCCACTCCGGCGGCCTAGGCACTGCCCTCCCGGGGGAAATCCCAGCCGCACTCACTCTGCACCAGATGAAGGGAGGAGCAGGGAGGAGCAGAGCCTAGGATTTTCACCACGGAGCTAATTGAGAGCCAGCTGGGAGAGGAAGCAGGGAGGGATTTAGGGATTACTGTCAAGATTTAAGCCTTTGATACATTAAGTGGCCAATTCCACCATTACTGCTGATTGATAGTAAATTTTCAAGAAATCAAGTCTTCTGAGCCAGAAGCTCCATATATACAGAGAAACAGAAGGGCGGAAACATTAACGTCAATCTCAAGTAAGGGACCCGGTCAGAATGAAGAGAAAAGCTTCTAAGGAATATTTTTCAAGACAATCTGTCATTTCAAACAAGACGAGCACACAGTGTTCTGTAACTGATTACGTTCCTGTTATCTAAGATTTAGGACTGGAGCTGGCAGTTAAGAGAAATGGTGGCAGACACAAGCCCTTCTATGGAGAGTGCTGTTTGGTCCTCACAAACTGTGAGATCTAATCCGACCGCTGCCACTGGGTGCTAGTAAGGAACCTGTCATTGGCAGGACTTCAGACGTACAAGGTGTCCCGGGAGACTGCACCCCTGCCCGTCCAGCACCAATTCAGTTACACCAGAGCCGTGAAGAACGGCACGGAGGTGTGTGCTGGGCGCAGACCCAGGTCAGGGCTGGAGTCTGAGGCCCCTTCCCCGCCTGTGGTCCTGGGCAGCGGACACTGTGGAGACAGAAGCCAGGAGCCCAGGCAGCGCGTGGCTCGTGCTCACTGACGGGGCTGGGCGTCCGCACGCTTGCCCCGCAGCCGTCTTCTCCTCTATCGGGACAGGTCAGGGCCACCGCCATGGGACGCCCCCAGGTCGCAACGCACGCCTTGGAACCAACGCCCGCACACCACGCATCCCACACGAATGCGTCCACACGCTGTGCCTGCTCCCGTGACTCCGGTGTGGACCGTTTCACACAAGTACACTTACAGTAACCGCGGAAGCTCATCCTCTGTGTGCTCTCCTAGGTGCTCATGTGTGCTGCTTGTGCGCCAGGCTGTCCCAATGCGGTCACGCATTGGTGCATGTCTTGTGTTCTCATGCGAGCTGCCATGTGCGCAGTTGTGTGTGCTGTTGTGCTCCTGTGTGCACGCTCCTGTGTGCTCTCATGGGTGTCAGTGCACGCTTATGTGGGATTGTGTGTTGTCACATGCTTCATGTGTGTTCAGATGTGCTCTCGTGTGTACTTGTGTTTGCTTATGTCTGTGCTGTCGTGTCCTGTGTGCTGTTACATGTACTGTCACATGTGTGCTCTGCTTGTGCTTTTCCATCCTGAGAGGCTTTTTACACAAGAGTGTGTCTATAGCATGAAAACCTCAGTCACCAGGTGGCAGGTGGCTCTGAGCGTGTCCACTGGTGCACAGGCCCTGAGCATGCTCACTGTGCACAGGCCCTGAGCATGCTCACTGTGCACAGGCCCATGAGTGCACTTGCCCTGAGCATGCTCACTGTGCACAGGCCCTGAGCATGCTCACTGTGCACAGGCCCTGAACGTGTCCACTGGTGCACAGGCCCTGAGCGTGCTCACTGTGCACAGGCCCATGAGTGCACTTGCCCTGAGCATGCTCACTGTGCACAGGCCCTGAGCATGCTCACTATGCACAGGCCCTGAGCATGCTCACTGTGCACAGGCCCTGAGCATGCTCACTGTGCACAGGCCCTGAGCATGCTCACTGTGCACAGGCCCTGAGCATGCTCACTGTGCACAGGCCCTGAGCATGCTCACTGTGCACAGGCCCTGAGCATGCTCACTGTGCACAGGCCCATGAGTGCACTTGCCCTGAGCATGCTCACTGTGCACAGGCCCTGAGCATGCTCACTGTGCACAGGCCCTGAGCGTGCTCACCGTGCACAGGCCCTGAGCGTGCTCACTGTGCACAGACCCTGAGCATGCTCACTGTGCACAGGCCCTGAGCGTGTCCACTGGTGCACAGGCCCTGAGCATGCTCACTGTGCACAGGCCCTGAGCATGCTCACTGTGCACAGGCCCTGAGCGTGTCCACTGGTGCACAGGCCCTGAGCATGCTCACTGTGCACAGACCCTGAGCGTGTCCACTGGTGCACAGGCCCTGAGCATGCTCACTGTGCACAGGCCCTGAACATGCTCACTGTGCACAGGCTCATGAGTGCACAGGCCCTGAGCGTGCTCACTGTGCACAGACCCTGAGCATGTTCACTGTGCACAGGCCCTGAGCGTGCTCACTGTGCACAGGCCCTGAGCGTGCTCACTGTGCACAGACCCTGAGCATGCTCACTGTGCACAGGCCCTGAGCGTGCTCACTGTGCACAGGCCCTGAGCGTGCTCACTGTGCACAGGCCCTGAGCGTGCTCACTGTGCACAGGCTCATGAGTGCACAGGCCCTGAGCATGCTCACTGTGCACAGGCCCTGAGCATGCTCACTGTGCACAGACCCTGAGCGTGCTCATTGTGCACAGGCCCTGAGCGTGCTCACTGTGCATAGGCCCCTGAGCGTGCTCACTGTGCATAGGCCCCTGAGCGTGCTCACTGTGCACAGGCCCATGAGTGCACAGGCCCTGAGCGTGCTCACTGTGCACAGGCCCTGAGCGTGCCCACTGTGCACAGACCCTGAGCGTGCTCACTGTGCACAGGCCCTGAGCGTGCTCACTGTGCATAGGCCCCTGAGCGTGCTCACTGTGCATAGGCCCCTGAGCGTGCTCACTGTGCATAGGCCCCTGAGCGTGCTCACTGTGCACAGGCCCATGAGTGCACAGGCCCTGAGCGTGCTCACTGTGCACAGACCCTGAGCGTGCTCATTGTGCACAGGCCCTGAGCATGCTCACTGTGCACAGGCCCTGAGCGTGCCCATCGGTGCACAGGACTTCCTCAGCATGGGCAGACCAGAGGAGAAATGAGGCAGAAGTGTTTTCCAGGAAATGCAGTTTTATTTATAATTCTTCAAGTGTGAGAATTATAAAATACTGCAAGGCACCATGACATGCATGTGGCCAGAAGATACCCTAGCAAGCCATGTCACGGGGCTCAGACTCCTGCACCCCACAGCTTGGAAATCTACCTGCAATCTCACAAACACACACATACAGAAAAAGAGAGAGAGAGAGAGAGAGAGAGAGCGCAAGTGAGCAAGAGAGAGAGCGAGCGAGAGAGCCCGCAGGATTATTACAAGAGGAACAGCATAAAGGAACGGCATACCTGAAAACGTGATGTTGAACCCCTCGTAGGAGATGGAGAAGTCTGAGATGAACCGAAGCTGGGCTGTGAAGTTCCCAAACAACCCCGCCTTGATGGTGTGCGGTAGGACGGAGCCAGTGAGCCTGGCCACGGGTGCGGAGAAGCTCCCGTCCTCTGTGATGAGCAAGTAGTCGTGGGAGCTCTCCAGGTGGAAGGTGTGGAAGACCATCTGCACTCCTGAGGAGCGGGAGAGGGCAGACCGGTGAACACCTGCGTGGCAGGGCCACACCTCCTCTGGCCTGGAGCTCACCGTGCTCCATCAGCCGCCCTAGCACCGGGATTACAGGCATGCGCCACCAACCCCCGTCCAATGTCTACAATCGATGTTTTCTGCATAGGATTCAAGTTTTCCTATTCGTGGCTCTCCTTGCCAGTGCCCTGAGGGGATGGGTATCATTCGGCAAGATGCCATTATTAGATGATACGTCTGTGACTGCTTGTTACCATACTGGGTTACTTGAAACTCAAGGCAAGCACCGATTTATCATAGAAATTAATATTTAGGTGGCTGCTTCTTTTCTCTCTTATTCAGTGTTTGTGTGTTCTCTTACTGGTGCCTGGCTCCTTATCATTACACCTGATTTCCAAGTTTTTTAAAGTTTTTTTTAAACTTCCAAGTGTATAACAGCCTATACTCAGCAAGTTATCTGATAGAGAACCAATGAAGGAATCTACTTGTGCTTGTAGCTCCAATGATACACAGACACATCCCTTCCCCGACCCCGCTTAAGACAGCAGTGAAAAGTGAGTGCAGCCGAGGACATGGGTCTTGCCTCTGGGCTGCACATTTCCTTCACTGGGGTGAGCGAGCTTATTTACGATTCTGTGAGAGAGAGACCGGCGTCGCCATCCTACCCTTTCCATGAGAGACTTCAATGGTCCACGTGCAGTTGAGGGAGTTTGGGTAGAAGTCTGGAAATCCAGGAGAAAGGACGGTCCCGCTCTTCCCGTGGATGTAGCCGCCGCACAGAGCTGAAATCGCAAGCGGCAGAGTGAGCATTTCATGGCGATTGTGAGGACAGCATACGTTTGTAAAGGAACTGATACCAGAGGGGTGCTTGAATCCAAACTGGGCTGTTCTTTTTTCCCGGTAATTCTTCTCTGTGGGCATACGTGCAGGTTTCTGTGTGAGGACACAGCTTTGAACACCTCCTGAGAATAAATCCCCATGGAATAAACCAGAACCTGTGCGGGAATCATCCGAACGCATCTGCTGTGTGGACCCCAGCCCTCCTGGGCCGCTGCCCCTCCCGGCAGAGCTATATTGAGACGCCATGCCTCTAAACAACATGCTCTTATCTTCCAAACTCAGAGCACCATTGGAGCAAGAGAAAAGTAAGTGTCATGTCTAATGATCCCAGGAGGGAAGGAGTGAGAGGGAGCGGTATGTTGTACGTTTAAGGTCTGTAAATGAATGTGCATGCACAAACACACACCTAAGCTACATGTGTCGGGTATTCTGTGGGATTTCAACACCATACTCAATGTGTCAGTGGGGGTAACTGGCATACTCTTCACCTCGCACATTATTATTCCTTGGGCTTGAGAACAATGAAACTCCCTCCTGCTGTCTATGGTGAGAAACTGAAATTAGTTATTCACGCCAGTAGTTCTATTGTGCCACGGAGCCACGGAAGCCGCCCACCCCTGTCCGAGTGCACCCTGGATTGTCGCCGTCCCCCTCTGGGCTCTGTGGGATCAACTCTGTGGCATGTAGAATGTGAACTATGTGTCACAGTGGACATCAATGTGGAGATTCCTCCAACCAGATCTAGAAGCACCGTCAGGTTCCAGCAAGCCCGGTGTCGGCTCACGGCCAAGGAATGGAGTGTGTGTGCGGGGGGAGGTCAGGCTGCCACATGTGTTGTGGAAGTGTTCGCCATGGCCAGCGCGTGGAAACAGGCAGATGGACAGAGAATGCGTGACCGCTCGCCCGCCCGCCCGCCCGCTGTGAGGCCTCCCGGCTGGGAAGCATGACACCCTGCGGGCCGCAGCGGCGTGGTCCAGCCCACGGTGCTGAGCGCTGAGTACAGAAACCCGGCACTCGTTCACATCCAGCCCTGCCAGCTCCATGAGCCGCGCTGAGCTGTGTGCCCCGGCCTTTCACATTTCTCTTATTCTGGAAATGGAAACGGTGACACAGTTTGCCCTGTGGACGGCCTCTGCAGACACAGCTCTGTGGAGCACTAGCAACAGTGTGAAGAAGCGCTGGAAACACAACACCTTACTAGTCCTGTCAGCCCTGGTTAACTGGGCTCTGACAAGGGAAGAGCCTGAAGGAACTGACTGCCTGTGCTCTCATTTGTACTCGTCAGGAGTAAAATACCGAGGTGACCTGGCTGATGCTTTCCTTTCCTTCCCTGTCTTAAGTACTTGAGAGCTTTGTGGTGAATGCAAGAACCGAACTGAAAAGCAATCAGAACCTGGAGCCAGCTCCGTGGAAGGACTTCCCACAGTGCCACGCCAGCAGAAGCCAGTCCCTCACCACACCCTGCGGCCTCTTCCCACCATCCTCTGATTTCTCTGTACAACTTCTCTGCACAAATGTCCTTACACTCCCTTTCTGAACTAGACAATATGAGCATATCATTCAACAAGTCACACCTGGACCAACGTGTTCTCATTAGTGAGAAGACTTTAGGATTTGGAAAAGGTACCTGCACAAATAACACTTGCAAGTGAAGTTGGCAATGCCATAGGAGGCGGCCTGCCTTGCCTTACAGTCTAGCCAAGAATCTGGAGGAGCGGGTGCTTCTTGGACACACAAAACGAAGGGGAGTCGTGCACAAAAAAGCACAAAAGAAATTTGGAAATGGTGTCCTGAATAGGTTCACAATGTCTCATGAGGTGCACGCATCTTAAATGCTCAGAGATGACATTTCACTGTGGAAGAAAGTGATCTTAGCAGGTGGCTTGAAGTTTATCCATCCAGTAAATAATGGGTGGGAACCAAGTGCTCCTCAGTCACTCCCTGGCTGCATGAGGCGAAGCTGGGCCGAGCTGGCCCGGAGTGCAGGCAGGAGTGAGCAGGCGCTCAGGCCAGCCTGCAGAGAGAGGTCTACAGAGAGGCCGCTGGGGGAGAAGATGGGGTTGAGAACACGCAGGCCAGGCCAGCATGGGGGGGCCTGCCCAGAAGGGGGTCTGGTGTGGGGGTGAGGGGAGAGTCTGGCACACCATGTGCATAGGGCCTGGGAGAGCGTGGGCTGTCTGGGTGGGCTGGTGTTTCTGGGGTGGTCAGGAGCTACCTCGGGCTCATCTGGTCACCAGCGGGTTCCGTGGGGCACAGGGGGTGCAGAGGCTAGGGCGAGCATCAGTGGTGCTGGGATGGGGTCAGAACACTGGGAGATGGAGGGCAGCGTGGGCAGAGCCTGACCCTGGCTGGGCCCACGGGCTGAGGAGACTGGGGAAGGAGGGGGCGGGGTGAGGGCCGGGGTGAGGGGATGGTGTGGGGGATGTGGAGGGGGGGTGGGGTGGGGTGTGGAGAGGGGGTGGGGCGTGGAGAGGGGGGTGTGGAGAGGGGTGGGGTGGGGTGTGGAGAGGGGGTGTGGAGAGGGGGTGTGGGGCGTGGAGAGGGGGTGGGGTGGGGTGTGGAGAGGGGGTGGGGCGTGGAGAGTAGGGGGATGTGGAGGGGGGGTGGGGTGGGGTGTGGAGAGGGGGTGGGGCGTGGAGAGGGGGGTGTGGAGAGGGGGTGGGGTGGGGTGTGGAGAGGGGGTGGGGCGTGGAGAGGGGGGTGTGGAGAGGGGGTGGGGTGGGGACGTGGAGAGGGGGTGGGGGGTGTGGAGAGGGGTGGGGTGGGGACGTGGAGAGGGGGTGGGGGGTGTGGAGAGGGGGTGGGGTGGGGCGTGGAGAGGGGGTGGGGCGTGGAGAGTAGGGGGGTGTGGAGAGGAGGTGGGGTGGGGCGTGGAGAGGGGGTGGGGGGTGTGGAGAGGGGGTGGGGTGGGGCTGTGGAGAGGGGGTGGGGTGGGGCCGTGGAGAGGGGGTGTGGGGCGTGGAGAGGGGGGTGTGGAGAGGGGGTGGGGTGGGGCATGGAGAGTAGGGGGATGTGGAGAGGGGGTGGGGGTGGGGCGTGGAGAGGGGGGGTGTGGAGAGGGGGTGGGGTGGGGCGTGGAGAGGGGGTGGGGTGGGGCGTGGAGAGGGGGTGGGGTGGGGCGTGGAGAGGGGGTGGGGTGGGGTGTGGAGAGGGGGTGTGGGGCGTGGAGAGGGGGTGGGGTGGGGCTGTGGAGAGGGGGTGGGGTGGGGTGTGGAGAGGGGGTGGGGTGGGGGCGTGGAGAGTAGGGGGATGTGGAGAGGGGGTGGGGTGGGGTGTGGAGAGGGGGTGGGGTGGGGGCGTGGAGAGGGGGTGGGGTGGGGGTGTGGAGGGGAGTGAGGGGGGTGTGGAGGGGAGTGAGGGGGGCATGGAGAGGGGGGGGTGGGGCTGTGGAGAGGGGGTGGGGTGGGGCCGTGGAGAGGGGGTGGGGTGGGGCGTGGAGAGGGGGTGGGGTGGGGGCATGGACAGGGGCCGACACCCGTGAGAGGGCTGCATGCGGACACTGCCCTCTGGCCCATCGCGGCCCCAGAGGTCCTGGGTGGCCACACGGGCCTGCCCTTCCCTGCACACTGGAGACACGTGAGGGCGTGTCCTCTGACACGTGGGTGCAGGTGCCGCCCAGGCTGTCACTCATCAGGAAGGTTTTGAATAAAAACAACCTCAGAGAGCCCACGTTTTAAGGAAAAGGACATTTGATACAAAGAGAACTAAGTTTAAAATCAGGAGGAGGGGAGGGGAGGGGAGAGGAGGGGAGGGGAGGAGGCTGGACTTCCTTTCAGTGTTGGGGTGGGTCTTGGTTAGGTCCCGACTCGCGGGCCGGCCTGGTTTCCACGCGGCCACAAATGCAGCTGCATATAATTTGAGTGCCATGAGTCTATTCCTTCATGCTGTGTGGATGCTCTCCTGGGTGACAGAAGAGCACAGTGAAATTCTGCTCTTCCTTCCCTGGGGCTGTAGTTTTTGCCACTCACTTTTCTATTTTCACTCCCTGCCCTTCGCCTAGGATGCAGACGCCCCTGTCAAGGATTCCTGGAAGGGAGGGTCACAGTGCCACCGTGGCTCCCGTTCTGGGCGTCACCGTGGCTCTTCTGCTTGGGCCTTGACTTGACGCCTTTGGTGCCCCCAGCCCTTCACTCAGCACGATTAGTGGAGGACTGGGGTAGCTTCCAAGACTCTCCACCCGGCCTCCATCTCCCTCCTCCCGTCTCCTCCCACAACTCACAGGGAGAGATTCATCTTGACTTGGGTCCTTTCAGGACACCAGAGTGTAGCTTTCTTTGATTTCTCTTTTCTTAGTCAATTTTCCTGTGTCTAATTAAGCACTTGCTTCATCGTGTGGTTTTTTTTAATGTCTTTCCTCGCCTCATACTGATAGAATATAACATCGTAGCTGTGTGGCTACCAATAAACATTTACTTGTAGAAAGAACAGCTCAAAAATGTTTATTTAACAGAAGAAATGCAAAGCGTTCTTTGCATTTGTTCCCTACCAAATAAAGGGGAGAAATGTACTATAAAATTTCTTTATTTCTTCATTTCTTGGGTGACTAATGCCTAATGATGGAAACTGCACCATGCACTGTGGAGGAAGTGCCAGACGTATGGACAGGGTTTACCTTCTTCATGTTCACATAAAATACTATAGTTAATTCCATTTTTTAAGTTATGCATTTTAGAGGTTTAAATACCCTCTTGATGAATGGGTTTGTCACAGTGAAAACCCAGGAGAGGCCAGAATGATTTAAAATGAAAATATTCTCTGTGACGAACAGAGGTCCTCACATCAGCCTGTAAAAATCTCCTGAAATCTGAAGCAAGACCAACCATTTTCAGCACAGATTCATCATTCTTCTAAAGATGCTCGGCTACAGCAAAGCACACGCTGACATCAGACGGCACAAGAGGATGCGAGGTTAACACGTGTTTGTGCCAAACCACACCAGGGGCCCCATACCACCCCAGGGGCCCCATACCACCCCAGGGGCCCCATACCACACCAGGGGCCCCATACCACCCCCCAGGAAGCTCTGTCTCAATGGCTGCTGGGTTCTGTTGAGTTATCCCTGCCCAAGCCCTGCTCCACGCAAGCTATTTCTATCATTACTTCAAAGGGTTTAATGAACAGCCCTATAACGTCCGGAAAGAATCCCTACAGACTGGAAAACGACAGAAAATGAAAAGTATGTGTACTACATATCTTCCATTTATATTTAATTTCCGTATTTTATACAGAAAGGATATTATTCTGTGGTTCTATCTATAGCCCCAAAGGTAGGGTTTTGGCGAAGATTACAAATGATTGTGTGTGTGTGAGTGTGTGTGTGTGAGTGTGTGTGTAAGACTGAGCCCTCTGGAGCCACAGCAGTCAGTGGATGATTCGTGTGTGTGTGAGTGTGTGTGTGTGAGTGTGTGTGTAAGACTGAGCCCTCCGGAGCCACAGCAGTCAGTGGATGATTCGTGTGTGTGTGAGTGTGTATGTGTGTGTGTGTAAGACTGAGCCCTCCGGAGCCACAGCAGTCAGTGGATGATTCGTGTGTGTGTGAGTGTGTGTGTGAGTGTGTGTGTACGACTGAGCTCTCCGGAGCCACAGTAGTCGGGATGATTCGTGTGTGAGTGTGTGTGTGTGAGTGTGTGTGTAAGACTGAGCCCTCCGGAGCCACAGCACTCGGGGAAGGTTCGTGTGGGATGGCAGGGCAGAGCTGTAAGGTCGCGAGGTCTGCACAGAGACGCACAGAGGCCCCCAGGAAGCTGTGCCCAGCGGGAGCGTTCTAGAAGTGGACCGACTCGGAGGGCAGAAGCGGGCAGATGAGAGGGCGGAAGAGGGGTGAGCCCTCCGTCCGCGGACGCGGGCCGGCGGCGGGCCGACCTGGCATGTGATGCCCACGGCAGCCCGGAGCCCAGCCCGAGCCTGTGCCGTCCAGAGGGGCGGCAGCGGTGTGTCCTCCATTGCTTAGCTCGCAGGGGGCAAGAGGCGCGTGGGTCTTCAGGGAGGACTCACACGCAGGCTCTCCTTGCACCCCTCGGCCCAGGGCGGCCAGTGTCCCACGGTGCCCCTCCAGGGCGGCCAGTGCCCCACGGTGCCCCCCCAGGGCGGCCAGTGCCCCACGGTGCCCCCCCCAGGGCGGCCAGTGCCCCATGGTGTCCCCCCCAGGGCGGCCAGTGCCCCACGGTGTCCCCCCCAGGGCGGCCAGTGCCCCACGGTGCCCCCCCCAGGGCGGCCAGTGCCCCACGGTGCCCCCCCCAGGGCGGCCAGTGCCCCACGGTGCCCCCCCAGGGCGGGCCAGTGCCCCACGGTGAACCCCCCAGGGCGGCCAGTGCCCCACGGTGCCCCCCCCAGGCGGGCCAGTGCCCCACGGTGCCCCTCCCAGGCGGGCCAGTGCCCCATGGTGCCCCCCCCCCCAGGGCGGCCAGTGCCCCACGGTGTCCCCCCCCAGGGCGGCCAGTGCCCCACGGTGTCCCCCCCAGGGCGGGCCAGTGCCCCACGGTGTCCCCCCCCAGGGCGGCCAGTGCCCCACGGTGCCCCCCCAGGGCGGCCAGTGCCCCATGGTGCCCCCCCCAGGGCGGCCAGTGCCCCACGGTGCCCCTCCCAGGCGGGCCAGTGCCCCACGGTGAACCCCCCAGGGCGGCCAGTGCCCCACGGTGTCCCCCCCCGGGCGGCCAGTGCCCCACGATGTCGCCCCTCCAGGGCGGCCAGTGCCCCATGGTGCCCTCCCAGGGCGGCCAGTGCCCCACGGTGTCCCCCCAGGTGGGCCAGTGCCCCATGGTGCCCCCCCCAGGGCGGCCAGTGCCCCACGGTGTCCCCCCAGGGCGGCCAGTGCCCCACGGTGCCCCCCCCAGGGCGGGCCAGTGCCCCACGGTGCCCCCCCAGGGCGGCCAGTGCCCCACGGTGCCCCCCCCAGGGCGGCCAGTGCCCCACGGTGTCCCCCCAGGGCGGCCAGTGCCCCACGGTGTCCCCCCAGGTGGGCCAGTGCCCCATGGTGCCCCCCCCAGGGCGGCCAGTGCCCCACGGTGCCCCCCCAGGGCGGCCAGTGCCCCACGGTGCCCCCCCCAGGCGGGCCGGTGCCCCACGGTGTCCCCCCCCCGGGCGGCCAGTGCCCCACGGTGTCCCCCCCCCCCGGGCGGCCAGTGCCCCACGCTGTCCCCCCCAGGCGGGCCGGTGCCCCACGGTGTCCCCCCAGGGCGGCCAGTGCCCCACGGTGTCCCCCCCAGGCGGGCCGGTGCCCCACGGTGTCCCCCCAGGGCGGCCAGTGCCCCACGGTGCCCCCCCAGGCGGGCCAGTGCCCCACGGTGCCCCCCCAGGGCGAGCCAGTGCCCCACGGTGTCCCTCACCCCCCCCCCGGGCGGGCCGGTGCCCCACGGTGAACCCCCCAGGGCGGCCAGTGCCCCACGGTGTCCCCCCCCCCCCCCCCCCCCCCGGCGGGCCGGTGCCCCAAGGTGCCCCGCTACCCCCCGTGGTCCCGCCCCCGCTCCGGTTCGTCCACTCACCATCGCAGCTGGGCAGGGCGTGGCTGCACTGGGTGCGTGCCCCGCCCTCCTACCCCCTGGTCCCGCCCCCTGCTCCGGCTCGTCCACTCACCGTCGCAGCTGGGCAGGACGTGGCTGCACTGGGTGCGTGCCCCGCCCTCCTACCCCCGTGGTCCCGCCCCCCGCTCCGGCTCGTCCACTCACCGTCGCAGCTGGGCAGGGCGTGGCTGCACTGGGTGCGTGCCCCGCCCTCCACCCCCGTGGTCCCGCCCCCGCTCCGGTTCATCCACTCACCGTCGCAGCTGGGCAGGGCGTGGCTGCACTGGGTGCGTGCCCCGCCCTCCTACCCCTGTGGTCCCGCCCCCCGCTCCGGCTCGTCCACTCACCGTCGCAGCTGGGCAGGGCGTGGCTCCACTGGTGGCTCTGCTCGCACAGCAGGGGCTCGTCGTCGCTCAGCGTGTACCCCGGCTCACAGCCGAAGGTCACCGTGGCGCCGATGCCGAAGTCGCTGCCCTGCCGACGGCCGTTCACGGGGATGCCGGGGTCCAGGCAGGAGTCGGACTCCAGGGTCACGCCTGCGGGCAGAGGGACCCGGTAACCACGCGTGCAACACCAAGACCAGGTCTGCGTCCCGCAAGCGGCCGTCCCCAGGCCAGGGGCTGTCACAGCGCGGGCTGTGACCCGACGCCCGGCGAGCACGCCGGGGTGACCCCGGCTCTGACCTCTGCTTCTTACCGCTGGGACCCAGCGCACTGCTCTGCCGAATCCAAAGGTGCCCGTTCTCTCGATCGCTCCCCACACCTGCTGCTCATGGGAGTGCTCTGTTAGACTCTGGCCTTCGTGTGGCGATTTTCACGTTTGTACACACGCGCCCAGCCACGCACACAGGCAATGGAGTCCGGCCTCACACCACACACGCGCCCAGCCACGCGCACAGACGATGATGGGGTTCAGCCTCACACCACACACGCGCCCAGCCACACACACAGACGATGGGGTTCAACCTCACACCACACACACGCCCAGCCACACACACAGACGATGGGGTTCAACCTCACACCACACACGCGCCCAGCCACGCACACAGACAATGGAGTCCAGCCTCACACCACACACGCGCCCAGCCACGCGCACAGGTGATGATGGGGTTCAGCCTCACACCACACACGCGCCCAGCCACGCGCACAGACGATGATGGGGTTCAGCCTCACACCACACACGCGCCCAGCCACGCGCACAGACGATGGGGTTCAACCTCACACCACACACGCGCCCAGCCACGCACACAGGCAATGGAGTCCGGCCTCACACCACACACGCGCCCAGCCACGCACACAGGTGATGATGGGGTTCAGCCTCACACCACACACACGCCCAGCCACGCGCACAGACGATGGGGTTCAACCTCACACCACACACGCGCCCAGACACGCACACAGACGATGGGGTTCAACCTCACACCACACACGTGCCCAGCCACACGCACAGACGATGATGGGGTCCAGCCTCACACCACACACGCCCAGCCATGCACACAGACGATGGGGTCCAGCCTCACACCACACACGCGCCCAGCCACGTGCACAGATGATGGGGTCCAGCCTCACACCACACACGCGCCCAGCCACGTGCACAGACGATGGGGTCCAGCCTCACACCACACACGCGCCCAGCCACGCGCACAGACGATGGGGTTCAGCCTCACACCACACACGCGCCCAGCCACGCGCACAGACGATGATGGGGTTCAGCCTCACACCACACACGCGCCCAGCCACACGCACAGACGATGGGGTTCAGCCTCACACCACACACGCGCCCAGCCACGCGCACAGACGATGGGGTTCAGCCTCACACCACACACGCGCCCAGCCACGCGCACAGGGATGGAGTCCGGCCTCACACCACACACGCGCCCAGCCACGCGCACAGACGATGGGGTCCAAACTCACATACGCCCCGCCACACACATAGACGATGGAGTTCGGCCTCACACTAGGCCTGATGTTCCAAAGCTGCATTTTGTAGAGCCACACAATTAAAACCCTGTCCTTGACCTGCTGTGACTGTGCTGTGCTGAGAGATGAGGAAGGAAGATGAGGTGCACCAAGTTCAATAATTCGGTCACATCAGTTTCAGGAATTCTCTTTTTTAATTTATTTTTGGTCATTTTGGGGCTTGAACTCAGGGCCTGGGCGCTGTCCCTGACCTCCTTGGCTCAAGGTAGTGCTCTACCACTTGAGCCACAGCTCCACTTCTGGTTTTTGAGTGGTTAAGTAGAGGTAAGAGTCTCATGGGACTTTCCTGCCGGGGCTGGGTTTGAACCACAACCCTTAGATCTCAGCCTCCTGAGTAGCTAGGATGACAGGCAGAAGCCACTGGCACCTAGCAAGGAATTCTTTACAGCTGCACATTTCTTTTTCTAAAATAGTTTATCTTTGCAAAGATAAAGCAGGAACAAATAATGAGCACATTGTTGAAATATGAATACACAGAAGCAAAGAGTTGCTGTGATTATAATTTGACACCCAGTAAGATTCATAACTTTCTCCATGATTTCCAAAATCTTAATCAAAACTGCAACGTACATCTGCTCTTCAGACTTTTAATTCCCCTGTAGTGATCCCTTGAGATGCTATTTCTGATCACTGGCAGTATTTTGTCAGAGGCTTTTGAATGATAGGACTTGTGCAGATGCCTTCCCTCCTTCAGTCACAAAACAAACTCCAGGGAGAGAGTTAAAATAAGCGGTGACTGATGCTCTTTCCTAATCAGTAGAACAGAACACGGCCAGGAGGGCGAAGCGCAGGGCGGCCCCTGAGCCATGGTGGAGAGAGGAGATGCAGCGCCCGCCCCTCACCTCAGTGCCCGGTGCTGGCTGAGGGCTGGCCACACTCGGCTACTCACACAGGCTCCTGGGCAGGGTGATTTCAGTCCAACCTGCAGGCAGGGCAGAGGAGAAGGAGCACGAGACTCCCTCGCATGGGCCTGTGTGCCCAACTGTCAACAAAAAGCAGCAGCAAGACTAGAGAGGCTCAAGCCCAGGCCCGGGGTTGGCAGCCTGCTTGGGGCAGGCTCTGTCTGACCTCCACTCCCCAAAGGCAAATGTGGTGGAGCAACGAAGAGACAAAGGAGTGGAAAGAAATGTGCACCATTGATTTTTGCCAGGAAATTTTCTTGAACCCTTATTTTAAATCCTGGAAAACTACCAGTGCTCATTACGAGAAACACAACGCAGCCGTGCACAGGATGACCGGATGTGGAGCTCAGGTCCGGCCCGAGGCTCGGCAGCCGGGCAGCGGGGGTGAGTGCAGCCTGAAGCCCCAAGCCCACTTCCAAGCAGATCTCACTCCCTCACCTTCACACCTTGGCATGTAATGCCAGATGATTGGCAATCAATACCAAGACCAGAACAAGAATTCTCTCCAAAGAAGAAAGGGAGACAGAGAAACTGGCCATGATTCTGAGAAAAATCAAGTAAACCGTTGCCTTTCCTCAGATGGTTTCTTGTGGAATCACTGTATATAATGCGAAAATAACCTACTAAGGAATTGTATCTAACATGAAATGGATCAATTACAATCAGAGCTTTTTTCCCATACAAAATTGGCAATAGGAAAAAAAAGAGAAAAATGGTTAGATAAACGGAACTTTTAAAATGTATCTTGCAGTACTGGGCGCTGAAATCAGGGACTCAAGCTTGCTAGGCACGCACTCGCCACCTGCGCGGCTCCCCCTTTCCAGATAAGGTTTTCAGTGAAGTCGTCTGGCCTCGGCCTGAGAACATGGTCCTCCTGTTTTCTTCTCCCCAGTAGTAGGAATTACAGGCCTGAAGCATGGAAATGCTAGAAATACAGCAGTCAGTTTAACCACGCATTCTGCTGATGTGGGACAGGCACTAGACACGCCCTAACAGATGATGGGGGAAATTTCAAACTGGATCACCAGCCTGGGTGGGACCAGAAGAGCCTCGATGTCAGTGCGGTGGGGGGGGAACGCGGCACCCCGCCCCCCCCCTTTAACTCAGAAGACACGCCCAGCAAGGCCTGCTGAGAAAGCTTAGAGAATTTCCTTTCCTGACAACACAGGAAAATGCATGGGTTGATGGGTTTATTGTAACTAGAATAATGCTTAAGTTCTCTTTCAGTTTTTTTTTCTTAGCTGAAGCCCAAAGCCTTTGTAAACCAGGCTACCACGAATGCACATGCTGCTCGTGAACAAAGCGGCAGTTCACATTGAGAGTGCCCCACGTGGAGCACACGCCAGAGGCTCTTGGGGAAGCTGCCAGTCTTTATAAAGTCTAATCTAGGGTACAGTGATGTTTATCGAGTGGTTTACAGGCATCTCCACTTTCACAGCCCCTGGAGGCTTCCAGATGGAAGCCGGCAGGCCCCGGCCAACGCGGCCATGATGGAAGGGTTAGGCAAGTCAGGCCCAGTGGGGACTTAGTGAGACTCCAGAGCCCCGGCCTCCTCCCACCTTCCTTCAGCATGCGCGAGCCTCAGTGCCTCCATGACATCATGGACATGCCTCCATGACGATGTCAGGGACGCTGTCTCCTCTGTCCTGGCCATAACAACAGCTCTGTGAACCCCAGAAAACAGCTGTGCACGCGTGTACTGTACACGGGCATGTGCACGCGTGTACTGTACACGGGCATGGGCCACCAAGCATACACTCCCTGCAACGCTTGTCTAAATCACACAGCGGGTGGACAGCAGAGCGGCCTGCGCTCAGCACACCGCCACCTCTCTCCATTCTTCACCAGAGTTAGGAAGACACTATGCTCTAAAATGATAACAGGAGCCCTCCAGACACAGGAAAACGCATGGGTTGATGGGCTTATTGTAACTAGAATAATGCTTAAGTTCTCTTTCAGTTTTATCCATTCTGCTATTCCCTAGGAAACTTTGAAAAAGAAAGACAAGATGTGAAATCCAGAATGTAGAGAGGACCCTTTCCTTCCTTCGGGAAGCTATGTGTATCAATGTACTAGATATTCTCAAAGGTGACATTAAAATGGTTAAAAGACCAACCCCCCAAAACCTTGCAAAATCAAGACGCAGTTCCTTTCCACCCCAGTAAGCCTCCCTCCTTCGTGCCCTGAAAATGAAGAATTTCCACAGACAGCAATGCAATTCGTTTGGCTTCTAAGTGACTCCTGTGCACACCTCTTTCTCAAGCAGCGTGCCAGAGTCCCTGGTGCTTTGTATAAATACCAGGTGATCACTAACTAATTGACAGCTCACGGAGGCCCAGCTGCCCGCACACTGGAAGACACGCGCGCGGCCGGGCGCTGGGGGTCACTCACTCTCATAGTGGATGAGGAAGCCCACGTTGGACCGGCTGCTGTCGGTGGTGAAGAGCAGGAACATGAAGTTGCCGGTGCTGATGAGGAACTGCGGTGCCTGAGTGCCGTGGTACTCTCCGATCAGCGGAGAGGAGCTGGCCGCCCCATCCCGCACCTCCAGCGTGTCGTAATTGACTTCCGTCTGGAATCTGCACAAAGGGGAAGCGGGCAGGAGAGGCATTCCCAGCAGGGTGAGACCTTAGACTTCACCCACTGCTGTCATCCTACGACCCCAATGCACGGTGCATATGTACAAACGAAGACACAGAGACAGACAGACGGACAGATCATAAAATCTGGGGACATATTTTACGTTTTCCTGGAAGTAAAAACACATTCTAAACTTCTCCATTTTTGTATCTTTCCAGATAGGAAGAAGATGTTACTCGGCTTGGACACAAACACATGGGGAAAGCCAGAGTGGAGACCTCATAACCAGACAGGACAGAGACCATCTCCAATTGGTGAAAAATCAGTGTTTGTGCATTTTCACAAACTGTGCACGGGCCTGCGCTTCCACCATGACCACCGACCCCTTGAAATGGACACCGTGAAGGGAAATGATCTCTCAAGACAAGGATGAATTCCCAACATATTTCAAAGATGCCTTTTTTGCTCACATTCACTCTATTGGCACCACGTAACTAACATGAGTGAGTTGCTAGTTCAGAAAGCAAGCAAGCCTTAATGATTCAGAAAAGTTAGAAGAGCCTCCAGGAAGTGCTTTGCTTTTCTTGTACTTCTACAAAATCTGGCCTGTAATTGTATTTCTATCAAGTTGCTGCCCCTGGGGTCCCAAGGATGCGATGATGGCTCCATCCAGGCGGGTAGATCGCTTTCTAGATGGACTGTCTCATCCCCCGAGAGCTAACCCTGATTCCCAGTCCGACTCTGCCCTCCGGGAGCAGCCAGAGCACCGTCGGCCTCGGACTCATTCGGTAATGGTGAGCCAAAGGCTGTTCTGAGGTCCGGGCGGGGCCTGGCTGGGCACAGAGCGAGCGGATGAGAGCAGAACCATGGGACACAGGCCTGCGCCGGGCGGCCCGGCCTGGCCCGGCCCGAAGGCCGCCCTGCTGTCCAGCGACCGTCATTTCACACGCAAGGCTGCTCCCTCACCCCGTTCCTTCCCCAGCATGGAGCCAAACAGCACACCACGGGACGGAGCAGAGCCGCGCCGTGCCCGGGCTGGCAGCAGAGCCAGCGTGGCCTTTCAATCACAACTGTTGCTGCAAAGACCTGCAGGACCCCACATGTCAGAGTCCAAATTCCAGCGCTTAGGATGAGTGGAAAGCAATCATATTTGAGATATCACACTGAAGTACTCATATTCCATGTCTGTGTGACGCCAGGACAGATCACGTGTCCATCTCAACAGCTATGTCGTTTCTAAGACCACCAAGGAACAGAAAATTCTAGATGCTTTCCACATTTGCCCAAACTGAACACCTCTCATGCCACAATACCTTCTGCATGTAATTTAAATCTGCACATACAGTACACCCTTTTTGAGAGTGTCAGCCCTGGACCAGGTGTGAAATAATAGAAATAATAAATATCACACCAGGAAATTCATCTTTAGAGAAAGTACAATATTTACTGTAAAAAAACACTCATCTAAAAATATCACATAGGCAAGGTACTTGAGGTGGAATGTAACAAAATATCACATTGAAATAATATTGAAGGAAATTTTAAAAGCATCTTCAAGCAATCAAGGGAGACAGAAGTGCTAACAGATCGAGAAAAGGGCAGGGAGAGGGTATCACTTCTACTGAGGGATCTGAACTCCACAGAGCTGGGAACTGGTGTTCTGTTCAGGATCTCATTCTGATCCTGAAAACCATAAAGATAAAAAAAGGAAAACTAAATCTAATAAACTGCTTCATTAAATGGCAACTCATTTGTACAACCACGTAAAGATAATAAAAAGAAAAAAATCAAAGAGCAAACAAAAGCTAATATAGTAAATATTTAAACGGGATCCACTCCCTAAGATGTATGAAACAAATCTTTGTCTTTGTCTGGAAGGATTTTCACACTGGAAATTATTATCACCCAAGAGACTCTTGAATGCTAACTTCAGATACAAATGATCATTAAAGGTGGCTCAAACCTCACTAAAAACTTTCCTAGGCTGATGTTAGCAGTGATTTGGGAGTGGGAAATCCAAGGAACCGGCACCGCAGTGCTCCTGCTGTGGAGTCTGGTCTAGAAGAAGGGCCCTGCCAGCGAAGCTCAGCGCCACTAGAATTCAGGCAGCAGGGGACCCTTGGTGTCCGTCCTTAGGTTATATAGCACATGGACAGTCTGTTTCAAACAACAACAACAAACCAACCACAAAGTTCCTGGTTTTCAATCATCCAATCCATGTAAACATTGACATAAACGGCTGCGCATTTTATCAAACGGCCTTCTCACAACGGCAGAGTATGGACAGGAAAAGACCAAATAGCAAAGCCAACCTGAAACCCGGTCCCACTGTGGCACAGCTGGTGGACAGGTCATAGAGACCCGATCTGCTACATGGATCCACCAGGTCGCGGTCAGATGCGCCCGTGGGAACCAAGCAGCGCTGTCTCCTCTGCGGAGGCAGCGAGGGGCAGGCAGCAGCAAAGGAGGGGAGCCCATCTTACCTATCGAATGTTATCTTGATGGAATGTCCTGGTTTTGCTTCGATGATCCACTCACAACTTAAGGAATCTTTGTAATACCCAGGCCACCCAGGGGGCAGAATGACTCCACTGGACGCTGTCAGGTGTCCTCCACACGGAGCTGAGAAGAACACAAACTCCTGTCAGGTAACGCTGAACAGAGGGAGGCACGACCCCACAGAAACGGCTCCGCTCAGGTTGCCTTGTCAACGCAGGTCAGGGTCCTCCTGTCCTCTACTGTGTGATAAATGACCTCTAGTGACCTCTGTTCCCCCAATGTAGGATCTTACGCAGCTGTCATCCATAGTTTACTTGCATTTGGAGTTCAACCAACATCTGTTGATCGAATCTGAAATTCAAGTGATGTGAGTCTGTATGCTGTGTTTTATTCATTTAACTCAAGTGACTGTTGAATGGTGGCTGAGTCATAGAAAGCAGAACAACTTCTGCCAAATCTAGTTCAGCCCAGACTGACCATCCTGACCGACGGAGATTTGACCAACTTTGACCACACATTCATGAGCTGTGATGTCCTTCATCTTAACATCTATTTCAGAGTGGGTCAGGACACTCAGCAGGCTAGGGGTAGAAGAGAAACAGAGAGCTACAGAGGCTCCACAATCCACAGCCACAACACCCTTGGCATCCAGAAAACTTCTGTGGGAATAAATAATATACAGTTCTTCAAAAAATTACATTGACGTGAGTGTTTCACTTTTTAGGCAAAAGTCATATTATTCTTGTAATAATGGCCATTTCTCTCTGATGGATCTAAAACCCTATAATGTTCCTCTTAGATTCCTTTAGGAGGTTTTGTCTGAGCAGTATGGCCTCATACTGGCCTTGCATTCCTGTTTCTCAGGTGAGACTTTTGCTGGTTTCATTGTCTGGGTTTTGCTTGTTTCTTTGTTCTTTTTGCTAGTTTCCTGGTGGTGTACTTTACGTTCATTTATTTCAAGTTCTCATGTGAGATATGCATTTTCCTCTCAGCCTTGCATTTGTTGCTTTACATTTTTCATAATATTAAGACTTTTCCATCTTGTGGTCCCAGATAGTATAAGACATAACATTGGAATTTCTCTTCAGCATACAACTAACTAGAATGGGCCCTTTGATTTTAGATACGTTTGTAGCTCTATTCTTATTAAACACTGTACATTAGTTAGTGCTACAATCTAGATTTATTTTAACTTATTAAGGTAGCCAACTATACAACTGATCTGACAAATGACTCTGGAGAAAATACTAAACACTCATCCTTCAATCAGCTTTGTTGTTGGAACAACTTCTTTCCCATCTTTTGATTTGTTTCCCTACTTGATCTGCTTGCTCTGGAGGTTGGATTTCTATTTCAACTCAGCAAGTCCTTGGTGAGGGAGTCTCGTCCGCCATATTACCTGCAAGTTTCCTGCCTCTCTGAGGCTCACCTCCTCAGTTCCCGGGCAGGAACATTTTCAGTGTTCTTCATAAGGAACATGTCTGCAGGTTTTCTTGGCTAACCACCCAGCTGGATGTGAAGACTCTTCCTGGTGATAGGAGAGCTCTCTGCTAATTCTATGTAATCATTTTCCTTTCATCTGACCTCACGTTCCTGCTTGTTAGCCTCTTTACCCTAGTGGTCCTCCTACCTCCCTGATCAACAAAGCCCACCACGCATCTGCAGACAGGCAGATGCCGAGAAGAGGCACCGAGGCCGCTAGAACCGTGACTGGCCAAGAGCAGAGGCGGGGCATGCGCATTTTAACCATCTTCTCATAAAACCACTCATGTCGCAAGGTCGGTAGTGAAGCGTTTGGCTCAAGTAGTCATTAAAAACACAATTAACTGCAGACCATTGTCTAGCCATCCTGAGTGAACATTTAACTCCTTATAAAAAAATCGAAGGTCTGTATGTCAACTTTATAACAACAATACGTAACTTTAAAAAGAAAAAAATCAGTTACCCATCTATTAACATGTGTAAAATTCAAAATACAAAATGATATATTTATAATATATGAATATTAGTTGTATTTTTATATATTTTTATTTTTATAAATTTTATTTTTAATTTATGTATTTTAATATTTAAATATATAGTTGTATTTTTCTTGCACTATAGTCTCCCGTCCACACATTGTATGGCTACTTCACCAAAGACAAGGCCCGGCTGGGCCTTAAACCTCGGTGAGTGACTCTGGAGGTCAGGCTGGGCAGAGCGAGGTGTGTGGCAGCCTTCAACCACGACTGTGCTAACGACCTCGAAGGTCAGTGTGTACTTAGTCTCTGCTTAGACCTCGGGGAGGCTCTGGGCTTGCCGGTGTCAGGTCGGCGCACTGCAGGTCGGAGAGAAGTTCCCACTGCACGCGTTCCTTTTCTGAGGATGTATTTAAAAAAATTGTCTCAGGATTGAAGGCCTGCCAAGCACTCGCCCAACCCCAAGTTCCACCAGTGCTACCAAGTAAATAAACATATAGATGCTGCCTTGGACAACTGAGAAAAAGAAAAATTATTACCATGAGCAATATTTTTGTGTGCAATGTTCTTTTTTCTTGTCATGCATTAAAATGCCCTGTAAATACTTCATTTTTATAAGTTTACATATTTCCTATATATCGTATTATATTTATTTTTTCAAACAATTTCTGTGCCTATTTGATGTTATAACCTTGCTAGCAGTGGCCTGGCATAAAATACATTATATTTGCCCAACAATTCCTCGGCTGTTTAATTTCAGTTGTATCCAACTCTGCCCTTATAAATACTGTAAAAAGCATTTGTGAACAAATATATTTTCAAGTTTGTTCTAATATTTCACTACATTAACCTCAAGAGTGTAACTTAAGGCTCAAAAACAAGGCGAATTTAAAATCTCAATATAAATTCTTACTATGATGCTGTGATTTTTATATGCTCACTAGCATGACCAAGAATGAAAAGATGCCCGTTAACATATTTAAATGTTTATCAACCATATTGTTGAAGGCTCAATTTGTATTTCTTTGGTATTTCCTGGAAATAAGGCTGAAAAGATTTTCTTAGGTGACTGGGATGGAAAGCTAGGGAAGACAGGAGTATAGCTTCTGAAACATTTAGAAAACAAGCAACAGTTGTAGGCAGCAGCTTTTTCTCCAAACATGTTTTCCTCACATTTTTTAGGTAGCTATAAACACAAAATGGTCAAAAATTGCATTGCTGCTGTGTTGGGGCCTGTCCAATCACCCACATTTCCCACCACAGCCTTAGGCCGCCGGCAGCAGCTCCCGGCTGGTTTAGAGACTGGGGCCTGAGGAATTAATCACCCCATTGAGGTGTGTTTGCAATGGAATGGTGACTCCTCATGCAGTGCGCACTGGCCCTATCAGAAGGGAATTTGGACATGGAGTCAGACACAAGTGGAGGGTGATGTTTCCAGAAGCCAGGGATGCTAATCCACAGCCAGAGCACATTCATTCTCCCTTAGGGCTCCTGGGAGGAGCCAACTCCGGCTTCGCATGAGCCTGGACATCCAGCTTGAGGCGGTGAGAATGAATTTGCTTTGCTCAGGCTACCTTTCTGGCTGTCAGTGACGGCGGCTTTAGAGGCTCAGGTTTGGCGGTGCTGGATCGCCCGGGAGAAGGGCGGGGCACAGGCTCACCCTCACAGCGCGGCACCGTGGAGCTCCACACCACATTCCCGTCCTGCAGGATGCAGGTGATGGACTCGGATCCCTGGGTCTTCACAAAGCCATCCTCGCAGTGGAAGGACACGGAGCTCCCCAGCAGAAACCGGTCTCCAAATCGCTGCCCATTCACAGGAATGCCGGGATCGTGGCACTCGTTCTGACCAAATGCTGGGGAGGAAAAGAAAAGTAGAACATACAATTAAATGCCAACAATCTCCATTTAAAAATAAAGAAGCTACAGTTATAAAGCAATCCTCCCCAAATTTGGTTTACATTTTTGATAAGTATGTTGAATAAGCAGAATTATCAGTATTTATGAGAGTAAAAGAAGAGAGAGAGAAAGAGGGAGGAGAGACGGAAAAATAGGTTTCCATGGACACAGATCCTCCTCCTGGACAGTGAGCAGAGAGAAAGGATGCCACCTCCTGGAGCACAGAAACAGCCGTGGCAGGTGCACCGGCGGGGTTGGCCATCCTTAGCTTTGTCACCTGACACTGGCAGAGTGTGTTGAAGTGTTAAGACCACTTATAAGTAATGGTAAGCATACACCTGAGAGCTACAGTGATGCTGAGGGACTGAAATGTAATCACTGGAAAATTCTAACTATAGTATCAGGGGAAGTAGTCGATAAAGGATACCCTTGTATTATTCATGTGAACAGCACTTTGTTTTATTTCTGCTACAAGTGCAGTGCATTCTGTGACATCTGCTTTGCAGATGCATGGATGGATGGATAGATGTATGTATGTATGGATGGATGTGTGGATGGATGGAGGGTTGGTTGGCTGGATGTGTGAATAGATGGATAACCAGAGAGAGAAAAGATATACAAAAGATCCAACCCCTCTATGGTAGAGCTGGCCAAATCACTCAGGTAAAAAGTGATCTGTGTCTGGAGTTCAGGTTTCTGTGATAATTTTGCTACTCCTGTTACTTTACTAGTGACTCCCTAACTTCAGAAGTTTCAGCCTTAAACTGCCACTTCCTGTCCACGTGAAGGACTTCCTGTCTGCATGAGGAACTTCCTGTTTGCATGGAGGACCTGTGGCTATGGTGGCTCATGCGCAGGAACACTTACTGGTGTAGGTGATGTTGAACCCTCGGCCGGTGGTGGAGTGGTCGGACTGAAACTCCAAGCGCACCACGTGCCCGCTGCTGGCCAGCTGGGCAGGCACTTCGTTGCCCGAAAATGTGCCAAGGACAGTGATATCAGAGAGCCCGTCATCTTTGACGGCCAGGAAGTCAAACTGAGGCTCCACATCGAAATCATTGAAGATGAGGTGGATTCTGCTCCCGGGCTCCGAGATAATCAACCAGACGCAGTTCATGTTGTTTCCGTACTCCTCCGGGTAGTTCGGGGACAGGATAATCCCAGAGGAGGCCGTGAAGTTGAAGAAACACGAGACTGCGAGACAAGGACACATCCTGAGCTGCTCCACAGGGACCTGACCCTGCCCAGGAGCCTCCTCAGGGCTCAGGGAGTCCAACTGCCCTGTAGCCCTGGGGCTGGTTCCGCCCCACTGAAACTGCCAATTCCAGAATGAATGTGGGTGCTTCTCCTCTCTCTCTGTCTCTGTCTATCTGTCTCCTTCTCCCTCCCACTCCCTCTCTCTCTTTCTCTCTCTCTCTCTCTCTCTCTCTCTCTCTCTTCTTTTTTTTTTTAGGTAGGTCGTGGGGCTTGAACTCTGGGCTTGGACACTGTCCCAGCTCTTCAGCTCAAGGCAAGCGCTCTACCGCTTAAGCCACAGTGCCACTTCTGGTTTTCTGGTGGTAACTGGAGATAAGAGTCTCACGGACTTTCCTGCCCAGGCTGGCTTTGAACCACGATCCTCAGAGCTCAGCCTCCTGAGTAGCTAGGTTTATAGCGTGAGCCGCCGGCGCCCGGCCAATGGCCTTTCTCCTCTCTAATTCTTACATCATGTCATGCAGCTCAGCTAGGGCCACACAGGGTGAGGTGCCGGCTTGATTTAAAAAGGGATGCTGTCCATTGGCTAAGGAGGTGTGGTAATGTCTGGGGGCAGCCCTCCACCGCAGCGCAGCAGCACTCCCTCGAGAGCCGGGCTGGGCACAGGAAAATCCGCCAGGGGCAGTGTGTCTCCCGTGAACACTTCCCGTTAGTGTGCAATTTTCAAGGTATTCATAATTAGTGACCTAAGAGAATCGGATTGTGTTCCAATTATAAGCGATAAAAAGCTGCTGTAGAATGTATTAGGAATTTCTCAAAAACATGTCTTTCTCTTCTAGAGCGGTGACCTCTCACCTGGGGCTTAGCTTGAACTCTCTATGATCTTACCTTGGTTCCCTGATGCTGCTGCAGTTATCCACAAATGAAAGCCTTCTTTTAGACTGCTCCTCCACATGGCAGGCCAGGGAGACACACACACACACACACACACACACACACACACATGCACAACACACGTGGCAAGCGGGTACTCACACACGCAGCTCGGCTTGTTGCCCGACCACTGGTTGTTCTGCTGGCAGGTGATGACCCTCTCCCCGACCAGCTCGAAGGCTGCCTGGCACTCGAAGGACAGTGTGTTCCCATGCAGGAAGCTGCTGCCCGTCCGCTTCCCGTAGGCCGGAATGCCGGGGTCCCCACAGCCCCCCTTCTCAATTTCTGAAAATGAGAGAAGACATGAACCATGAAACAGTGCACAGAACTTGCTAAGCCCACAGGGAAGCAACTTGATGAGCGGTTTCTTTTCGCTGGTCAAAGCATCATTTTTGAAAACAATTTCAGCTGCACAAGTCATCCCATGTTTAATTCCAAAACCAGAACAGAATTGTGATGCGACATTGAGAGAAAGGTAATTGTTTAATGTGCTGTCTTTTAAGATTCACGGGCCACTAGAGGAGGTGCTGACAAGACAAATGTTGTAGTTAATCAATGCATCTCTGAGCAAAGCGCTGTTACAGGATGGAAACATGGGCTCCAAGCCACATGATTTTTTGGTTATGAACAATACAGATGAAGATCACTCCCCTCAGAATATCTCCATCAACACTCCATCTGGATATTCTCCTTAGCTGAAATGTGAGAATGCACTTTTGAATCAAAATGAATGTTGTGTTTTCATGAGAAAAGAAACCAAGGCTCGGGAAGCGGTGGCTAGAAACACCTCCAGGCCTGAAGCTTGCTGGTCAACCCTGGGCAGCTCTGAGCCTGGAGCTCGCTGGGCGGCCCTGGGCAGCTCTGAGCCTGGAGCTCGCTGGGCGGCCCTGGGCAGCTCTGAGCCTGGAGCTCGCTGGGCGGCCCTGGGCAGCTCTGAGCCTGGAGCTCGCTGGGCAGCCCTGGGCAGCTGAGCCGGGGCCTCCGGGGCCCCCAGAGTCTGGTGTATCCGAATCCTCACCTTCACCATTTCCGAAAGGGCCGTCCACTTTCGACCTGTGAGATATTTAATTTTGAACAACATCCTAGTTGTTAGGATTTTTATCAGCATGACATTTATGCTTAGCCTTCATGTCTGATAAATTTTAGTTGGTACTTTATGCTATGCCCATAAATGTTGATAGGCTAAAAGAACAATTTGATGCAGTGTTTATTCTGTTAATGGAGCTGAGGAAGTTTTTAAACCTGACATCAATCTTGGGGCATATATAAATCAAAGTAGCGGATTGGCAGCTGGGGACGTCCGTGGGGAAACCTGTCGCTGTGTGCGCTCACCCGCATCCCCGCAGGAGTGGGAGGCCCAGCCTGGGGACGGGCTGGAGGAGGAGCGTCCGCGGGTCTGGACAGAGCGCAGGAGACGCAAGCGGCTGACAGGGCAAGCCTGGGAGATGCCGTTCAAGGCATTCAGATCAACGTATGAACGTGAGGCTCATTGGACCGTTTCTGATTTACAAAAGGGAACGCCATCCTAACACCGCACCCGCCCGCCCACCCCACCACAGCCGCTGCTTCCATTGTTCTTGCAGACAGCGTCTGCACCTCCCTGCGAGCCTGGCCAGGACGGGACCGTCACACTGTTCATCTTGCTGTCCCGCGCTGCGGCTCTGTCTGTTGTGAGCTCACTCCTGGCAGCGGATGCTTGTTTTCGTGATGCCAAAAGCCTCTTCCCAAGAAAGTGGCATGCACTTTCCGTGCGTCTGGGGGCTGCGGTCCTCAGCTCTGTCTCTCCAGCTGGGGATTCCCACTGTTGCCACCGGGAGCCAGGCTCCTGCACACATCCTGCCCCAGGATCCCTCTCCCCGGCCTCTGTCCAAGACCCACTGCCCCCTCTCCAGGTTCGCAAACTCCCAGTCCAGGTGACTTTTCCTCTCGTGGGAGAGTTAGAGACAGCTATTTCATAAACGTTTTAGAGCTGGTCTGGTGCAGCGCAGACAGATTTTCGTTGAGATGGTGTCTTTTAGTCCCAATCTGGGGTGAATCGCTCAGAATGATGGTGCAGGCGCATTCTTTCCGGACCTCAGTACTTAGAACGGTGCTCACTACAGCGCGGACACGGCTCTCCACTCGGAGGACACGTCTCAGCCTCTCTTCAATCTGTAGACTGAACTTTTACCTTAAGGAGGCTCCAGCCCAGGCCTCAGTTTCTAGTCTGTGACAAATGTTTTGAAGCTCCATCTGTTCTAGCTGCAAGCAGAACAAGACTAAGTGAGCAGGGCAGATCCTCACGCCAGGGCAGATCCTCACGCCCGAGGCTTGTCCTCGAGGTGGTCAGCAGCGATGGCTCTGTCCGGGAAGCCGAGCCGGGCAGCCCCAGGGTGCCCCCACCACGAGGCTCTGTCCACTGAGGGGTGGGTGCTACTTTCCTCCTTTATGATCATCCAGCACGCCGCACCCCCAAGTTCAGAATGACACAACCGAACACAAAACACAAAAGGGAGAATTCTGTGAGCAGGAGCCTGCACACCTGGGCATGCTGCAGGCACCATGGTTCACCTGGCCCTGTGCTCCAAGGGAGGGCGACAGCGTTCCCGGGAGAGATCAACTGCGCATCTCTAAGAGAGGCAAGTCCCGCTCCTGCCGTGTCTCCTGGTCTGTCTGAGTCCAGGGCCCCACCCGACCTCTCCACCCGTGAGGGCGGCCACAGTGTGCGGTCAGTGGTGGCTGTCTAAGCCATCGTGGTACAGGGACTGGGGGGGGAGGGGCAGCAGCCACCCAGGCCCAGCCCTGGGTGTGGCGGACTCCGCGCAACTCTGATGACCTGAAAGTGCAGTGACCCCTCTCCACGGAGTTCCCACCCTCAGCCACGCAAACACTACGGTCAGAAAACGAGAGGCATTCCTCAGAAAGCAAGAATAACCACCAGGAACCATTCCCGACTGCGCAGTAACCTCTCCTAATAAAGGCTCGATAAACAGGCGAATGCATTTGGTATCAAAGGGGGATCCTGAGTAATTTGCCAATTACAGTCCCTAATTTAGAGAAAGTCAAAGATTTATGCATGAACAGAGACACCAAAGTGAATTTATTATACATTCCCAATCAAAAATAATCTCCTAGGAATGATTAGATTTCTCCAAGTATGCAATAAATATACGCCAATAAATTATATCAGTGCAAAAACAGCTAAGTAATCTCATAAGCTAAACAATTCCTTTTTTCATGGGTCACAGTAAATGTGTCACTAAAAACCCCGAATTTGATTTCCTATGGGTATCAGAGTAGCACTTGGCAGCTGGTCAAACAACATATAAATCTATAAACACTGGCCTAAACACAAGCATATTTTATTGTCCCCAGTCATAAGAAACCTGGAGGGAGAGCGCGGGCGGCAGGAGGGCAGCCATGACTGCCGGCCACCCCCACCTGGCTTCCCCGCACCCCAGCAGCCGGGCCTGGCTGCTTGTCACTGAGGATGTAAGGCAAAGGAAGGAAACCTCAGCCCCTCTCCTGGCTGTTCACACCTCTTCCGCTACAGTGCCCACCATGCCCTCCACACCGGAACATCCTGGAAGCTGGTGGACAGCAGTGTGGGCGACCACTGCTGTCCCTTCTGGTGTGTTTGCGGCCAGTTTGCCACATCGGCCGCAAAATGCCAGCAGGCGCTAAAGATAACAGCCAATGTCATTCCTACTGCAAAGACCCTTTTCAGTGGTCTCTCAACCATGGAGCCATCTCTGTATCGCAGCCAGTGCCGTGCTTACTATTTTGCCACCTGTGCTTAATTTTCAGGAGAATTAGTGGAATTGAAGGGGTACATTCCTCTCCGAATACAGGAAATGCTACCTCTGACAAAGTGTGCGAATGAGAGTAGAACAATCTTGATGCAAGTAGATACAATAAACAGAGGAGGAGCCGTAGAGCGCTTGGTCACTTCATCTTGTGTTCAGTTGGCCATAGGAGTCACGCGGGCCCAAAGGCCTCGTGAGTACACAGTTACGTTTCTGCCTTGCGAGGGATTTGTGTTTTCTTGGACCTAAAGTACTGCGAGGAGCCAGGTCATCGCCAGGAGGAGGATGGACACATGACAGGGCCAGAAAACAAAGCTTGTGGGAGCTGTGACAGGAGGTTGATGAATCCTCCTCCTCTTTTTCAAGGAGATGTTTACTTCATCACCATTCAGCGTTGACTGTCGATAGCTCACGGGTCATGACCGGCCCCGCAGAGACGGACGTCTCTGCCACGTAGCTCTGCTGCGGGCGACAGCTCACAGCCTCCCATCCTCAGAGACAGGAAGCAACCTTGTGAGACAAAATCAGGCTATGTGCTTCTGATTACTGTGACGGTCCACGTGACCCCTTTTTCTACCAAGTAATTGACTAACTAATAGCTACAAGATACACTGAATAAAAATATCCTGTGTGTATCGTATCTTCTGAGCTTACTTTATCATTATTCTGGAATTGAAATGGGCAGCGAGCGATTCGTAATTCAAATGTTTTTCTGGGCTACGTTCTTTCAACTTTGCTCTAGAATCAGGCTGACATTTGGGGGCTAGGCTAATTATCTGAGCACTGGTACAAGCCTTCCTCCTCCTCCTTCCCTTCTTCCTTCTTCTTCTTACCTTTCTCTTCCTCTTCCTCCTCCTCTTCTGCTAGCTTCTCCTTCTTCTTCACTGTTTTTCAGATAGATTCTCATGTGATTTTTCCAGGACAGGTCTTGAACCAGCCCTCCAGCTCTCAGCCTCCCAAGTAGCTGGCTTGACTGGCGTGCACAGCTGTGCCTGACAAGGGTTCCTCTCCATTTAAGGGTGTAGGTCAACATCAGTGCGTGTGTGTTCAGCCCTGATCCCTGCTGGCTCAACTCACCCTAGCCGGAGTCGAGGAACACGCCCAAATTCTTTGACTTTCTAGCAGTCTTCTGGGGGTTTAAAACTCCTTTTTTCTGAGCTGCGACTCGCACGGTGTGAAACAGGCTGACTGAGCTCGATCCTCCCCAGTGCTGAGATCACAGACCAGCACCCTCACGTGCAGTGGATCTGTCTGGACACGATCCCACCGCGGGCTGGGGGGCCTGTAAGTCTGATACGTGATCAAGATCCCAGCGCAGCAAAACCTTTGGGGTAGGCCTTCTAGAAATTCAATCTGTTTCTGGCAACGTTCCCGAAGCCATATGACCATTTCCTGACTCCCCATTCCGCATTACCCCGGGTTCCTAAAGACAGGAGAAAGATCTCCAGGCCTTGCAGTTTTAGTTTAGAGACGGACTGGGCCTACCTCACCTGGCCTCCC